TCATCAATCCACATAGCTATTACATAGTAAGGTATTTAATGGCTAAAATATTGAATAGCTGTAACTTTGAGGTTTATGTAGGTATTTGGAGTTAGAATGAGTGGAGACCACTTAACAAATGCTGTATTGAAGGCTTCCAAGTAAAAAGCATTTTACATTTCTTTTGAGGCATGCATAAAAAATAAAAGTTTTTATATTTAACTCACATTCCCAACGCAGCCAAACCCATAAACATGATCTCCTCTGAATTCCCCCTAAAAGAAGGTTCATCATCTCTTCAAAATGTTTAATTCTAGGGATCTGGAGTTTTGTGGGACTAAACTGAGTGTCTTCCTCTTTTTCCCGCTCCCTCTCCCAGTCTCCAGGAGAATGAAAGTTTCCTCATGGTTTGTACTCAGCTCTCATATCCCCTTGTGGTGGGTGTCATGCCTGGTCAAGGCTGGGAAGAAACATTTGATGTTTTAAACGTGTGCTGCTTGGCACTCAGGTGCTTGAGAAATGTTTGTTAGAACTGGACTACACTTTAGGTACAGTACCGAAGTTTCAGAAAAGTCTTGCTCCCTTGAGACCCCCAACCTTTCTTTCTTGTCCTTTTCCATCTCAGTGACTCCAAAAGACTTTTCCTGTGGCTGCCTCTCATCCTTCTGATTCATCAAGATGTGAGCTCTGTGGCCATGTTTCCCGTTCAGGTCCAAAGGCCTAACAAGAGTACAGCTTCCTTGCAAAGAAATCGCATCAAAGCCTTCGCACTGAAGGACGAAATCTCCAACAGGGCCCCCTGGGAGCTTGAGGAAGCCCAGCAAATGTTCTTCTGGGTTGTTCTATGTCAGGTAATAATCTGATGATTGGGAGCATTCTTGTTTGTTTGTTTGTGTCTGACAAAGGTGAGCATTTCATCAGGCAAAGCTTTGGTTACTTATTACCAGCAATACCAGCCTTGGTTGTGGGAATTTTGATTGATCACATCTTGTTTCACTTAATTATTTTTGAGACCACTATTTTTGGAGACAGGTGCAATCCCTACGTTTGAATGCAGTTGAGTCATCTAGTAATGTGAGTTGAGTGTGAATAATGAAAGAAGGGAAGAATTTATAATTCATTTCCTCGCCTACTCTAGGAGGTGATGAAATGAAGCATTCTCTTCTCATGGAGTACACAAGGTTAATCACAGTGCCTAGTTTCCTCGTGGTAGGGATGATTCAAGCTGAGTAAATCATTTCCCATTTAATAATATTAAAATTTTAATGTTAAATGGACCATATAAATGATTAATATTAAATTATTAACTATTAAATAATTCTTAATGAAATATTATATGTCAGATACTATACTCTAATGCTCTTCAAAATTCATTCCATTTTTAGAAGAATCACATTAACAACTATAGTTCACAGATGAGGAAACTATATCTCAGAAAGGTTAGGTAGCTTACCCAAAGACACACAGCTAGTAGAAGAGCTGTCACAAATTAAACCAGGAATGTCTGTCTTGAAAACCCTGATTCTGGCAACGACACTGGAGGCTCCTTTTTATTGATTAAAAAAAAGAAGAAGAAAAAAAAGACTGAAGTCCATCTAAATTAACTAAAAATTCTGGCACTGTCTAGTAAAAGGCAGAGTGGGTTCACCTCATTCTCACCCTCTCTGCAGTCTTGCATGCATTCTCTTTATCGTTGCTTATTTGCCCACAGGTCAAAGGCCCTTTTCTCATTACTTTGGTGAAAGTGGCCCTCTACTCAGCAGTGAAAACTCTGGGAGACTTGGTGCTATTTTAAAATGTCTTTAGAAATTAGAAATACCTTTAAATTCAACCTTAATTCAACTTAGCATTTAAAACATCCTTTGCAGCTGAAGTTGTTGTTACAGATACTGTACAAAAAGAAAAATTTGCAAATTATTTAATATGTTTCTTAAGCTTATAAGCATATATATATTTGATATGTCTCTTAATGGATTAAAGACCTCACATTCTTACAGCAGTTGGGGAAGGAGGATTTTTCTAAATAAAGAGTCAAGCTAATTTATCTTAAAAGTAGGTGATTTAGGTACTTCTTGAAAGTGTGGTATTCTGTGGCATGCTTATGACTTCACTGGACAATAGATTTGTAGTAAATGCTCTCAAATGTTTGAAAAGTCCTGAGAGTTTCCCAATAAAATGGGAGATTCTGCATTTGATGGTGCACCACCATCATATTTTCATTGTTACACTATGTTTAGGAATAATGCTGTGTGCTATATTAGAACACTTGCTCTCCAGGTAGTCAGAATGGACAGAAGAATTTTCACCAACTCATTTCTGATCTTTGTCCAGAAATGCTTTCAAGAGGAAGTTGTAGTTCAGTTTTTCCGAGTTAGCATTTCCTGCCTCGTGGTTCCCCAGATTATAGGGCTGCTCTAAAGCCTAAAGAGGGATATGGAAAGGAAAATCGGAAGATAAAAGGGGATGTCACTGAATGTACCCTAGCAAACGAGCCTTGCTTTCAGGAAGCTGTGGCTGGGAAGCCTTTGTTTAATATTCAGAGTGTACAGGGAGGCGGGGAGGGGGATGGATGGTTACTTGTTTTAGAAATTTTATTGTTTTTAAGGAAGCAGGCAGTCAATTTTCCATTTCAACCACACACACATGCAAAACTCAGGTTCTTGCAAAGAGGCAACCAGCTACTATTGTTTAAAATGTTTTAAACGGAATTCAGATGGCTCTTTTTTCTCTTCCGAGTCTGTGTGCCAAATGACAGAAACCAATACTCATCTTTCTTTCCCTCTGAAACCCAGGAGGATACATGAAAGAACCGAGAAATGCATTCCTTAAAGGAATCCGGGCATTTACTTTAAATAATTTATATACGCACATACATATACTAGTATAATCCCCCACCTCCACCCCCCGTGTGCATTTCCCCTCTTTTGACTCGTATGAAAGCAGCAGTTACAGTAACTGAAATCCACATCCTCAGACTTGACATTTCAGCAGGTCTTGCACCCAGAAGCCAAAATGCCTGGAGCTTGCAAGCTGTCTCTCTCTCTCTCTTGTCCGTGGGCTCGCAGCTACTGCCCGGCGCGCTTCAGGAAAAGTTGCCCATCGTGTTAGCCCGGGTCTGAGTTTGCACGAGTGAGTCACGGAGGAGACACGATGTGCTACGGAGGCCACTGACCTGACATCGTGGCCCCAATCTGCTCTTTCGTCCGCACCCACTTGCACCCCTCCCTTGTTCTCTGGGATTCCTTTTTTGGGGGGACAGCAAGTACTCAGGCAACCCCTGGGATGTTGACTGTGAGCTTCCCTTTGAAATGTTTTTCCGATTCCGTAATCCGTTGGCTAGAAGCGCGACAGATCAGGACTACCGGGTTCTCTCCCCCGCCCCCGCCAGCCACTACACCTAGCGGAGGCTGGGTGCGCCAGAAATGGGCGGGTAGATGAGGAGATACCGCACCCAGCCTACCTCCTTTCTCCTCGCTGCGGGGTGCAGGTTGCGCTTTGCGGTCTTTGTCCGCTCGCCCTTGAGCGGGGGACCGCGCACTCCCGAGGATGGCCGGCAGGTGGCGCAGTAGGTTCACGGTGAGCTGCTGCCGGGGAAAGGCTCTTGCACCTCCCGGAGGTCGCCCTCCCTCTGGGATCCAGGCTCCGGAGGAAAACCCGGCCCAATCCCTGAGGGAGAGAGAGGAGGCGCGGCCTGGGAGAAGGGTAGGAGGGAGGCCTCTCCTGAGATCAAGAGCCCTGCAAACGTCTGGAGAAATGCACCGGGCCGCTTGGGGGTCCAATTCCTGGGCTACTTTGCTATCTGAGGACGGCGCTCAGGTAGCTGCGCCTGCAGCCAGGGTTTGGGGGGGACAGATCAGGGCCAAGTGGCGCCTGCGCCCCGCGGAGAGTCACTAGTGGCCCCTGGCACCTCGGCAGGGGCCAAGGAGCAGATACCTGCGGGCCCGCTGCCCACCAGTCCCCTGGGGCGGGAAGAACTGTCGAGCGGAGCGAAGAGTTGCCGCAGCCGCAAATGGGCAGCTTCTGAGTTCCCATTTGCGAAGTCCGGTCAACGGTGGGCCACCGCATGCCCAGCTAAGCCCTTTGCTTCTATCACCTGCGCCTGGGACTTGCTAGGTCGGGTTCCAGGGACTCCCCCGGGGCAGCACACAGTTGGCTCCCTGCCGGCAGGGCCATCCCGCAGTGGAGAGTTCGGAGCGGGGTGAGAGCCTAGGAGTGAGCACCGAGAGGGGGCCCAAGGGGCTGGCTCCTCCGTCGCTAGAAAGTCATTCGTTCCGCTCCAGAGCTGAGACAACGACTGAGCCCAGACGATGGGGACCGATTAGGTCGCTCTCCAGGCATCTAGGGGATCTGGGGAATAGGATCAATCAAACCACAAAACCCCCTCCCAAGAGCATTTTATCAGGAGATGCTCAATAAAGACGCGAAACAGGGCAGGGCGGCAAAGGGAGGCTGTGCCGGGCCCAGGAGGGCGTGTGCAGCCCCAGACCGGGCGCACCGGCCCCAAACGCCTCAACCGGCAGGAAAGAGCAACAGCCAAGAGGCAGGCCAACTTTATAGTTATCTTATTACAATAAAAGGACCTTTGCCTCCTCACACCGTCCCGGGGGGAAGAGGGGATTGCCAACCTTCCCTAGGGCTCTTCCCGCCCGCCCCCTCTCTCTCCCCCAATTCAGAGACTTTCTAAGCTCCCTCCCCGGCCCAGGGGCTGGACCCCGGAGGTGAAGTCTGGGGACCCCGTCGCCTCCCTCGCCAGGGGGGGATGTAGGGGGAACCCACACAAACCTTGCCCCCTCCAGCCCGGGGAGCCCCGAGGGGCGGGGCCTCGAGGCGGGTTCTGCTTGGCGGGGGCGGGGCCAGCCGCCGGGTCTGCGCCGCTATTGGCCGCGGGCCCCGGACTGGCGGGTGGGCGTCACGGGCCGGGCCCACCCCCTTGGCAATGTCCTCAGCCTGCTGCCCTCCTAACTTAAGCATTTATTCCACTGGGATAGGAGCGGCAGGAGCAGCGCTGGCACCGGCGAACCATGGCTGGGGTTTTCTATTTCGTCCTCTTTTCGCTTCTCTTTGGGGTTTGCAACGCTGTCACCGGTTCCAGGGTGTACCCCGCGAACGAAGGTAAGCGCGGGGGCGGCTTGCCTGCTGTCGGGGACAGAGAGGGGACAATCCGAGGGTGAATTTTTTCCTCCGGAACGTGAGGCTGGCTGATGTCGGGGGTGGTGGTGGGGAATAAAGGAGAGGGGGGTGGACGGGGAACCCCGCGTGAGCGGTGCTCGCAGGCTCAAGAGAACGGAGCGGGGAGAGGGGATCCGCCAAGAGGAGGCGCGGGGCGGTCGAGGATCCTGACCCGGGCGGTGACCCGAGCTTGCGGCGAGGCTGCCCAAGTTTGTAGCAGAAGGACAAAGTTTGGCAGCACCCGCGAGGCCAGTTCGCGGCGCCCGGAGGGGCCCCACAGGAGCCAGCGCTAGGATTAAGAATGATCATTGTGTGGCCCACGCCCTCACTATCACCCCCCATCCCCGGCCCCAGTCGGTGGGGACATGGAAGCCTGGAGCCAGGTCAGGGCTTGGTGCTCCCGGGTTCCTCGGAAGCCATGCGAGCTGTGGTTTCTGCAAAGTTTCCGAGCCCTGCGCTCCCCGGGACCAGGCTTCGGAGCCTCCTCTGCACGGCAGCGGCCGCGCGGCTCGCCGGCTGCCGGTGACCTGGTTTCCAGCATCCGGCGGCCGTCCCTCTCCTCCCGCTGGGCTCGCTCCCCGAGGTGCGATCGCTGGTCTGAGGGGCCCACGCTCCTCAGATCACCCCGTAGACCTGGGCACCCTGCCTCCGGCAAGTTTTGCTTTTTGCCCCAGAACTGTGCACGGGGTTAGTCTGGAGAGAATATGCGGGACCCACTGGACCCGTCTCGGCGCTCAGTGTTCGACGCGTCTGTTGGGACCTGCTGGAAAGATTGTGTGCGTGCTTGTGTCGGGGAGGTGGAAGGGGGTTGATCATTTAGTTTCTGGCGATCTCAGAGAAAAGCGAGTTGAGTGTGCCAGTGTGCGTGCGTGTGGGTGCACGTGTGCATGCGCGCGAGGGTAGAAGCGTGTTTGCGGCGCGTGGGTGCCCGCATGTCGGTGGAGGATTGTGTTTCCGTGCGCGGGGGCCCTGACTGTGTGCGCCTGTGTGTTCGGTGAATGCGCTCATCTAGCCTTGCGTCTGTTTCACCTACTCTTTCACCCTTCCCTACTCCATAACTCCCCCATTCCATCCATCCATCCATCCATCCATCCATCCATCCATCCATCCATCCATCCATCCATCCATCCATCCATCCATCATTCCATCCAGCCAGCCAGCCAGCCAGCCAGCCAGCTCTTCATTCGTCCATCTCTCCGGATCCGTCCCTCCACCCCTGTGCAATCTATCATTTTTCCTGTTCCGAAGGAGGGAGCCAAAACCCAACTTAGCCTTGGCTGGGCAGCCGGTACCCAGAGTTGGCCAGACGAAGGCTTGGATAGATTCACACACCTGCCGGCAGACACTGCTTGCGAGAAAAGGGGCGCTCTCTCTCCCCTCTTTCTCCCCCCTCCTTCTGACGTGGCTCCAGGTGCCATCGCGGCCCCTGCGGCTCCTTGGTGCCCAGGGTCGATTCTCTTCTCCGAAGCTGGACCCCGCGTCCCGCTGGCTACTTGGCGCACTTGTTACGACGTCCGTCCCCTAAGACTCACTGCACCAGATGCAGAGAATTTCTTTTCCCCCATTTCTTGCCTTTGCTTTTGAAAGCAATACTTGGGAGCCCTAGACACAAAAAGGTGCTGATGGAGCGATAGGCTGATGTAAAAAAAAAGGGGGGGGGTCACCTCCCTCTTGAACCCCTCCTCCCCCTTAAAAATTAATTCATTTTGTTGCTTTTTATTCCCATCACGTTTCCTTTTCTCCCTTTTCCCCTCCCTTTCTACTCCCTCCCCCCCCCTTTTTTTTTTTTTGTAAATTGGGTCTTATTGTTCCCTTTGTGTCCCTAATCCACCTTACATAAATCCAAATGGATGTAGCGGGCTTTTCTCTAGGGACCCAGAGGAGAGAATGAGGCCGGTGGTGGGGGCGCAACTCTGGGCGGGAGAGACCCAGGGAAGGCTCTGCACTTTAAAATAATTAAGAGATCCCAGGAATTCAGGTTTTTTTTTTTTGGGGGGGGGGGGGGGGAAACAGGAGAAAGAGGCAGATTTGAACTCCTTGACTTGGTGGTGAAACGAGAGGGGAGATGGTCAGAATACAGAGGCCTGGGGGTGAGATTGAGAGTCGGGGTGGGCAAGAGCAAAGGGGAAGGCTCCCTCTCTCCACCCCTCCCCCAGCCTGAAGAGCCAGCCTCACCGATCAAATTAATAACCCAGTGCTTCCTTGGAGTGGTTCCTTTTGACCCACAGGCCTGCGGATCTCGGTGGGAAAGGGAATGTGGAAAGAGAGGTTAGGGATTGACTGCGCCCTTTTCAATGTCTTTCTAGGTGCCTAGGCCTGCTCCAGCCTGGGCGGGGCTCAGCAGCTCCTAGCCCCGCTCCAAATTCCTAATCTTTGAGGCGCTGGTTTAGGTGAAACACTAGCACATTAACTCTTCTGCATGCCTAAAATTCAAGCCAGCGACTGACTTCCTCTTGGGTGGAGGAGGAGGAGTGTCTGATTGTCCTCTAAAAGACCTGGGGAAGAGAATCCTTCAGTTCATTTGCATTCTAATTCTATGCGTCTGCCATCTCTCCCACCCCCCAACCCCCTTTGAAACTTTGATATTTAAAAAAGCAGCAGCGGATACCACTACCAAGGCCGATTTATGTGGTGGTGGAGGGAGGGGGGCCGAGTGGTCGGGGAGAGAGCCTTTTCCTGACCCTCGGAGCACTCAGATAGAATTCACTTGTGGCACTGTCACCATGATGATGAGTTATGCGGTCATCTGAAACTTGTAAAAACAAATAACTCCAGTAGACACCAGACAGAGATGAATGCAGATTTTGCTCTGGAGTGCAACTGCCCTACATAGATATATTTATTTTTTTGAATTGTACTTGAGATGCTCTATTCATCCCTTTTAGAAAATGAATCAACTGAGTCCCGGGATGGAATTTTAAATGCTCAGCAAGTTAAATAAATAAGGACTTGCAGATTTAAAGAGGGGAGAAGATCAAGTGAGTAATGATTATTTACATAAGTGAGACCAAGTTTAGGTTTGATCAGAGTTGGATATGCGCACCCTCAGCACATATGGAAACGCTCAGGCAAATGGTTTTTGTAGTATTGGCTTTTGCAATTGGAAATTAATCTATTTTTCTTTTTCTTTTTTGTAGTTACCTTATTGGATTCCAGATCCGTTCAGGGAGAACTTGGGTGGATAGCGAGCCCTCTGGAAGGAGGGGTAAGTTCCGAGTGGCTCTCTGCTCCGAAGGGTAAAAAAAGGAGTGATTAGCAACTTTCTGAAAGTCCTAATGGCTTGATTCTTGTTGATTGTGGCGAGGGGGTCAGATTTCCACCGTGGCCTATGAAGTGAATTACGCTTTGTTGCAGAAATCCTATACTCCCCTTGGATAGGTCTGTCATGGTAGAACTAGAAACCAAAAGGGCAGAAAGGGTTTTCAAAATTAGGAGATCAGTGGAGGCATCGACTTAGATGCCTATTTAAAACTAACATACCAACAAAAAAGGCAATCTGGGATCTAATGAGAATTGATGCCTACATCACTGTGATGGCCGTGGAGTCCTGACAGGGTTCATCTTAGAGCCACTGTTCTGTTTTCAGGTGGGGAAAATGAGTAAGTAAAGATTCTAGGAAGAAAACCCTGCTCATTGTACTAGTCACAGGTTCAGTTCTGTGACCACTGCAGGAGCTCCTTACCTTGCTGTCCGGACCACCTGAAGGCAGCTGCTGCCCTCTTGCACACTGAAAGCTTAGGAACTCCTGCCCCTGCACAGTACATGCAGGAAGCATCAAAGTTTGAGCATCATTGGGGCTAAAGGTGAAAAGTTTAAATATTTGGAGTCTTGGATCTTTGGGGCTGGGGAGGCTGCATTAAAAGCATGAGAGAGAATGCACTGCTCAATTCTAGAATTTGCCATCACTGCCTCCATTGGAAGATTAAGAGACTGGAAGTAGGTCAATGAACACATTCTCTCACCTCAACCTTACCCCTTATTAACAGGTCAAAATGGATTCATTTTTTGTGGGTGGGAGGGGGGGAGGAGGGGAGGGGTCAGTACAATATTTATCTCTGGTTTCTGCCAAATTGAGATAACTCTCAGGTTTTTAAAAAATTAAGCATATCAGCCCACCTCTAAGTCAAATGATTAAAAATAATAGAGATAAAAGGAAGATTGAGTCTTTACCAGGCAAAAATTGTAATGCCAGCAAGCACTCACTATGGTGCTTCAGCCATTGCATAAGCAATAAAAGATGAAAAGAAAATAAAGATGCATAGAAACTGTTATAGAAGATGGGTTTCAAAGATAAGAAACAATCATGAAAATGGAGAATTTTAGGATTTTTCCAAAGCAGTTTTCATAATTCATTTAAATGAAACGGAGATTGCCCTGCCTTCCTGTTTTTCTGCCTGAACTTGACTGTAGTTAGTTGGGTCTCTGCTGAAAAATTCCAGACTGCCCTCAAAACCATTTTTTTTAAAAGGGAGGGAGAATGATTGGCAGGCTTCTGGCAGTGTAGACAGGCTGTATTCACCGCTGATTGCAGGCAATTGCCCTCATCCTTTGAATGCGAAGAAAGGTACAGCTTTATCTTGTGAGAGTCAGACTCTTGTTAATCCTATACCCTGGAAAGGTCACTGATTCAGGAAGACTTTCCCATGCTACACTAGAGCTATTGCTCTGGAGATTGACTGTATTAGAACTGTCTGCTCAATTGAGGATGGAAGGTAACCGTACTTGCATTAAATTTTTTAATGAGCCTTATTTTTCTTATTGGTTGCTCTTACGCTTGAAGAGAGAATGCATCAAGTATGACTTTGGATTCGACTTGTTAACCCTAAATATACATGGACCTATTAAAGCAAGTAGTGAGACTTTTTTTTTTTTTTTTTTTTTTTTTTTTTTGTACAGTCTATGGTCTCTCTAGTTTCTGGAAAGCTTTTACTGCAATTTAATATGCTGTAGACTCCACCCCTACCCTCATTCCCCGAATTGCTGAAAAAGCACCTGGTCACTTTTTCTATCATAGACACAAAACTTTTCTTGATTGTCTTGAAGTCTTTTTTAAAAAATGATATTTTGCATACCGATTATTGTATAAAACCCAGACTTTTATGGGCTGAGTGAAAATAGTTTTTTTCCTTTCCTTAAATATGTGTATAGCTTTGTAAGTATTATTGTGAGGGGTTGGAAATGAAATTTTACTTGTGCATAAAAGAAATAGTCTTTCCAAAATACATACCAGGTAGTAGCCATTGAGGCATTAGGTACCAAATTATAAAATGTAATTACTCTATAGATTTTGTATTTGAAGAGGACTTTATCAGTCTTAAAGTGATGGATGAATTAGAAGTCTACTGAGTAGGAATAGATTGGCTTCCAAAGTTCTTTTTGGCTGAGGGGGGAAACGTATATTTGAGTCTTGATTATTTTGAAACATCTTTGCTGGAAACTTTGGATTACAGTTTTGTTCAATAATGACCTTTATTTATTGTTGTTGCTGTTGTTATTATTATTTTTTTAAAGAAAGCTTATTTGACAATGCAATCAGAAACAACTCTCCTGTTTTTCCATCCAAACAACTAAACTAAACATGAAAATAACAGAAAATGATGGCTCCTGATGGCAACATTAGAGCAAAAACCTAATTTCTTGGCGGTGCTCATTTAAAGGAGTATATTGAGTTTCTGACATTGATTGTAAAATACAAAACTAAGGGGAGATTTGTCATTGTTCTGGTGAATTGATCAGTGTGTTTAGACAATCAAGTTCAGGCTGGAGAATTCACATTGCATCTGAATTATCCTCTACGAATTTTGTGGAGCTATTCCTGTGTACTTTCATTTAACATTGATAAATGTGTTTTTCCATATTTTCTTTGTTCTGAGATGAGAAACATGCTGAGTAGGTTTTTGTTTTGTTTTTGAAGATGGGGATCTATTTTTGCATTTACATGAATTTCCCCAAATAAGTAAATTACTGGTGATTTATTAGTTAGTGGGTAAAAAAGAAATTTTAATCACCACCGGGTACTTATCCCCTCCCAGTTCCCACTTTCATAATGGTAGTAGATGAAAGGGATAGAGAATTTTATGCATTATGGCCCTTCACATAGTAACATTTCCATCCATTAACAGTTTTTCAATTCACAGATGGGAAACCCGTTAAAAGATACAGCATGATTCTATGTACTCATTTTTTTTTTTTTTTTGGATGGAGGTTTAAGTGGAGCTATTATACAACATACATTTCTTAAAATATGTGTTCTTTTAATTATATTCATGTGCTAGATATTTAAGCTGACTTATACCAGATCTTCATAAATGTACCCCTGCAGATATTAATGAAGAGCTTTGTAGGACCCCCAAAACCATCTTGCTTCTTTTAGGATTTATTTTTTCAAGTACGGCGAGAGTAAAATGACCACTTTAGTCATAGTGAATTCAGACCGTCCCACTATGAGAATCTTTGTTAGGAAGTTTTTTGCAACTCTACCATCCTTTTAAAATTTCTTGAGCTTTTAATCACAAATACTGCTTACTATTTTGCTTTCAATCCCCTTAGAGGATTTAGAAGCAAAGTATGTATGTGCTCTTGTTTACTTATGTGCATATGTTTTAAAAATAAGAACAATATAAACATTTAATTGAACGCACGCTCTTGAAAAGTGTCCAACCATTACAAAGGACAGCATAGTTGAGAAATCCAACCAGGAAGTTTACTCTCTATATTCCCTGGATTACCAAAACCAGAATGGTGAGATTTTCTTTCCCCCTTTAAAGAGTAGTGACAGTGCCAAAAGCAAAGAAAAGAAAAGAAAAAAAAAAACCCACTGACATTTTTTTAGGTATTAAAGAGCAAAGTTCTGACAGGAGCACCACTAATTAACTGATAATTGTCTTCCTTTGGCAAGCTTTCCTCTTCCTGCTCTTAATTTGCAGGTCTCTGTTCAGTTGTTGAAACAATACACATACGAGTTTTTCATTTATGAGTAAATTTGAACTGTTGCCACTTGAAATTGTAGCTGTTGTAATAGGTGAAATTGAGGTTGTTAGACCACCACAAGGAACTGCTGAGAACTCCTAAGTAATAAATCCACCATTGCCTCTCCGGATTAAAGCAAAGGAATGAGACAGTTTTTAAAAAAGCAAAAACACTCCTGCAATAAAACACTGCCTTATCTTCTCCATAACAGGCTTTATCCGAGAGGACTGGTGCTCCGTAGTTTTCTTATTGGAAAAAAATAATAATAACAGTGTTAATTGAAGTTGTATGAGAGTAAAACAGGGTTGACAGATCCTGGTGTGATGACATGTTGTGATTGATACGTTTTCTTCGCATCTTTGCAGTGGGAGGAAGTGAGTATTATGGATGAAAAAAATACACCCATCCGAACCTACCAGGTGTGCAACGTGATGGAACCCAGCCAGAACAACTGGCTCCGAACTGACTGGATCACCCGGGAGGGCGCTCAAAGGGTGTACATCGAGATCAAGTTCACCTTGCGGGACTGCAACAGTCTCCCGGGCGTCATGGGGACTTGCAAGGAGACCTTCAACCTGTACTACTACGAGTCGGACAGCGACAAAGAGCGTTTCATCCGGGAGAGCCAGTTCGCCAAGATCGACACCATCGCCGCCGATGAGAGCTTCACCCAGGTGGACATCGGCGACCGGATCATGAAGCTGAACACCGAGGTCCGAGATGTAGGGCCGCTGAGCAAAAAGGGGTTCTATCTGGCCTTCCAGGACGTGGGCGCCTGCATCGCCCTGGTGTCCGTCCGCGTGTTCTACAAGAAGTGCCCGCTGACGGTGCGCAACCTGGCCCAGTTTCCCGACACCATCACCGGGGCCGACACGTCCTCGCTGGTGGAGGTCCGCGGCTCCTGCGTCAACAACTCCGAGGAGAAGGATGTGCCAAAGATGTACTGCGGGGCAGATGGCGAGTGGCTGGTGCCCATTGGCAACTGCCTGTGCCATGCCGGGCACGAAGAGCGGAATGGAGAATGCCAAGGTAAGACGAGCCATATCGTCCTTTTCATGAGGGCCTGGGGCACGTAATTAAATCAGAGATGCGGCTGAGTGGAGGAGAGCCAGTAATTAGCAGCCCCTGTGGGACTTGGTGGGACGGAGGGGTCTAATGAGGAAGTGCTGGAGCTCCAGGTGGCAAGGCTGGGCCGGTTCTGAGCCTGGCAGTGTACAGGATGCTGCCATAATCAGCAGAAGGCCAAACATATTTGCTCTCGGGCACTTAGATCTCAACTGGCTGGATGTGCCCTCGGAAATGTAAATGATCAAGCTGAAGAAATGAGGTTGATTGGTCCTTCTTTCAAGAGGCTGGACAGATGTCCAAACCATAGTACAGACCTGGTAAAAAAAAAAAAAAACGGTAACTATCTCTGGTTGTGTGTATATGTACGTAAACAATTTACATGCGAGGTATGAATTGTGTTGTTGCAAATCTCTGAAGCTGTGTGGGGAGTGTCTGGTGTCCTCCGCCTTTCAGAGTGACAGTGTTTCAAGTGCATTTGTTCCCTTGAGCATCCATCAACAGGGTCCCTCAGAGAAATTAATCCTGATGAAAGACCTTTCTTTCCCCCAGGAGGTGATAAGGGACTAGCAAGAGTCTTCTCATTTCATCTGTGGTCAGAGGCGATATTAAATTGTGATCCATTTGGTTATTGAGTGTTTGAAGAAATCGCGATGTCTTTATCACGTTAATTTCTATGCAGTATATTACAGAAGTGTGTGTGTGTGTGTGTGTGTGTGTGTGTGTGTGTTTTCTCTCACCTAAAATACAGTGAATGCAATTCCTTCTTCCCTATGTTCCCTTTTCTGTCAGAATACTGAGGATTTTGTAAAGTTTTTATTTCTCTTAAAAAGGCCTTGTTTCTGAGTAAGGGATGAGAGTAATTCATTTGTATATGGATTGCTCATGTCATGTGTAGCTTAAGGCTTTAAAACAAAACAAAACACAGTTATCCAAGGTTTTTATTTTTGCTTAGTGTTTATTTTTAGTGGTTATCGATAGTTTGCTGCTGCCAATCTTATTATGATTAGTACTAAACAGTGTAACTCTGGTCCCATCTAAGCAACAGATCAGATTAATCTTTTCTCGGGGGATTGTTGAGCTGCAGTCTGGATTGCCCATGGTTCACCTGATTTGGTGATTAAAGAGCCTGAAATAACTGCCTGCCAAACAATTTGTCTGGCATTTCAACCATCTTAATGACACGGTGGGATTAACTATGTATGGGGCAATCCACTCGACGGACTGGAAATCAATTATAATAACCTAGAAAACTTACAGTTTTGATAATTTGGTGTCATAGAGCTGTGATTTCAGTTTATACATTTCTAAAGTGTCATTCTTGATTTGCTTGCAGTTATTTTCTGGAGTAGCTAACAATGAATGTCTTTTAACTTCATTGTAAATAAAGCAGAATAAAGGCTGACTACCATTTTTATTGACCTAGCGTGAAAAGGTAAATTTGTAAACTAGAAAATTTGTAAGTTGGAATTTAAAGGCAGCTTTTGCCATTTTGTTTGCCATTGACTTAGCAACTAAAAGATAACCTGTACCAAAGTGAAACCTTGAAGTATGTACTAATATCAATTTTAGAAAGTATATGACTGCATTGTTATTGGTATGTGGATTATAATAATCATAGAAGGAATGGTGAAATGAACTGGGTGATGACACCACAACAAATTTTAGAGCAAATTATTCTGCCTTTTCTATTTTTATAAGACAAAATACGCACATCTTCACATGCCAAGATTTTTATATATATTTAAAATATATATATTGTCTTCCATTTCCTGCTCAAATGGTCACATGGGTGGCATTAGAATCTCCCTGTATTAATGTCATTGATTTTCAATTGTCACAGAGCCCAATAACTCATCCATTGCTTCATTGTGAAACTCCTTGACAGTTTTACAACCCAAATTAGAAGGAAAAGAGAAAAAGATGAAGGGGGAAATGAATGTAAAGTCAATTGAACATGTTAGCGGTTTGTTTTATGGAAATAATCTTGGGACTCTAGTTAATCATGTAGTTCATGGAAGGGGAGGGGTTTCAAGTTTTAGGCCTAGTCCATTTCTGAGCAAACAGTTTTTAACACCGGATCAGATACTTAATGGAATGGGAAGATTGATTGAGCCATTTTTGAGAATCTTTGGTGAGTGGAAACCTGCTCTCCAGGTATTTCCTTTGCTAAGCAAAAAGTGACTAACTTGTCCTAGTTGGTCTGGCTCAGTGGATAGATCACCGGGCTGCAGACTGGAGGGTCCCAGGTTCCTATTCTAGTCAAGGGCAGGTGCCCAGGTTGTAGGTTTGATCCCCAGTAGCATGCAAGAGGCAGCTGATTCATGATTCTCATCATTGATATTTCTATCTCTCCCTCTCCCTACCTCTTTGAAATCAATAAAAATAGCCAAAACTGGTTTGGCTCAGTGGATAGAGAGTCGGCCTGTGGACTGAAGGGTCCCGGGTTCGATTCTGGTCAGGGGTATGTACATTGGTTGTGGGCACATCCCCGGTGGGGTTGTGCAGGAGGCAGCTGGTCGATGATTCTCTCTCATCAATGTTTCTAGCTTCTATCCCTCTCCCTTCCTCTCTGTAAAAAATAAATAAAATATATTTTTAAAAAAAGAAATTAATAAAAATATATATTTTTTAAAAAGTTTAAAGAAATGAAGTTATTAACTCTTTAAGAAGATACTTTTTTGCACAAAACCTTGCACTTTGTGCTTTTTTTTTGTTTTTGATTCTACCAGTAAGAATCTCTGATGAATTTAGAAAGAAAGGAAAAACTTGCATGACAAAGGATTCTTAAAATTCCAAACTTGAGTGAGACTTTTAAAAGACTGACAGTCTTAGGAGTAATAAAAATGGTTGTCTCCATCCTTGACACCATTACTGGGGTGTCAGAGAAACATCCAAGTGGAGCTGAAGGAACATCAAGACAAGGAAATGTGTCTCAATTTGGTCACTTAGCTGTATCACCTTGAGCATGTTTTTTAGGCCCTCTGAGCCATGGTTTGTTTATCTATAAAATGGGTTGATAATAATGATACTATTTTCCTGACTTGCCATGAGGACATGGTGTCATTAGATTGGTAAAAATCACCTTGTAGATCATAAAGCATGAAACTGATATAAATGCTAGCATTTTTGTTAATCCTTCTGCCCTTCCCAAATCATAGCTGATGACTTTTAAAGGTGTTAAGCTGAAGTACTAAAAGGGTATTCATCTCCCAGTCACTCTTGGAAGTCAAGGCTACAGAGAGAAAGCATTGCCCTTGTCCTGACAAAGAATAATGTCCATTTTCACACTTCATATTGCAAATGATACTTTGGAGAGTGTCAGGGTTTTTTATTGTTGTTGTTTTGTTATTGTTTTTCTCTGAAGGAAAGTTCTCTTTCTTTTGAGGGCGAGAAAAGTGATTAGGGGGTGGGACAAGAAAGAGGAGATGTGAAGAGAGCTTAAGAAGGGATATAATGGAGAATTGGCAAGGCTTCAGAACTCTGGCAGCAGGTCCCTCCCCAATTGTCTTTCCAATGGGTATACTGTGGCAGCACAAATAGAAGACCAGGTGAAAGGTCACGTACTTCCTCATCCATCTTCCTCAGGGTCTGAGAGGTCAGAGTGAAGATTGATTAAGATCTTAAATGTTTGACAAAGGATCCCTGGCCAGAAATGGGCCGGGTGGCTGGGGGCCTGGAGTGTGCTGTTGTTTAAATCTAACCCTGGTCATCTGCTGCCTGAGTCCTCAAGGGACGGGGACAGACCTACACTTCCTCTTAGAGTTCTCACTTCCAAGGGGTACATGCTAATGGAGACGTGAAGAACTGCCTCAAACGTGTCCAGTGGCAGGGTGATGGTGGGCTTGCCCTCTGAAGCTGCCGCAAGTTCATTGTGCTCTTGAATAGCATTTTCTGAAATGCTTTGGCTCCGTCTCGGCAGGACAACAAAGAGTGTTAGTCACTCCTCTGGCCTCTTCAGGAGATGGGCGCAGTGGTTTGAACTTGCCTAGCGATGGGGTGCAGAGGATGAGAAAATATTGGAGTCAGTCTAGTCATCCGTCCACCTCACAGGGTCAGAAAAAGAAATAAAATCACATCAGACACCCCCCCACCCCCCCAACGCACACAAGCCATTTCTCTGGGCAAGGAAATCTGCCAGATATTTCACAGGGCTCTTTTCCTTGGCAGACAGGAAAGGATTCTTTATGAACTTATTTTTTTTTTGCTTAATTGAAAAGCTGAAAAATGAAAGTCCCAGATTTACTCTATGAAATATTAATAAACAATATTTTCAGAGAAACACACAGAAAAATAAAACTAATAAGAAAATGTTCTTAGAGTCACTCTTAAGGACAAGGAAGTGGTCACAACTGTGACAAAATGCAGCCCGGTAGAAATGAAGCCTTGCTGAAATACACAATTTTGCATAAGTCGTTTGGGGTTATATATCTCTAGGACCTATATTATATGTCATTTCATATATGTGATGCCTTCATATCAGCAAAAGGTATCTTGTTAAAAGCTCTTTTGAGAAAGAACAGGACAAATGCTTTGATGGTTGTGAAATAGGAATATTTCACATTTGTCCTCTGAAAAGAGAGCACTGTGGTTACAAAAAAAAAAAAAAATTGTGATGACTTTGTTTTCCTAAGAGCCTTAGGAGAAAGAAGTACTGAAAAGGAAGCATTAAAAATATAATTCAGAAGAGACACTGTTTTCTTTTTCCTTTGAATCGTGTCTTTAAGAATCAATTGCTTGAGTCACATGGCTGCCTTTATCCTGGCTTTGAAGCATGGCTGTGGCTCTGATCATTGAAAGATGCAATTCTTTATATACAAGAAGAATGGAGTTTAATTATTGTCTTTCTTTCTGTTGTGCTTTTTTATTTCTCTATCTTCATGTGACCAGGATTCTTTTTTAGTGTGAATGAAGCAATGGTCTCTATTTCAGTTTCACTAAAGCATCACATAGGCATTATCTCA